TTGGCATACCACAGAGAATGGCCATACCAGTGGCCAACAACTTAGATGACACCCCATATCAGGGATGGAGGGTTGAACATAAGTGAATCAAATCATTTGACTCCTGCCAATCTAACAGTAGCATTTCTAATTACATTTTCTAATTCATACTTATCAAAACTTGTACACCATACTTAATTGAATGAGTTTTTCCTTTATTATCACTGCAACTGTTGTGGATAGCACTATTGAAGGAAAGATCAAGTTTCTGCATGAACTGCAAAACACCTGTACCTACATGTACGTAATACGTAAATGCAACCCCACACCAGGCACAAAGGTTCGGCATTAGGTCATCTATAGTGCAACATACCCTCCATGTGATCTTGAGTGAGGTAGAGCCAATAGGCTCTATACTAACTATAGTTGTTCCACATGTGTTGAGTTTGCCTTGCAGTACAGGATTGTCAATGAGTGACTCAGGCAGCTCATCACCTACACATATGTAAATAAAACACAAAGTCAAAGATAGGTTTTTCAAACTGCTATACAATTAAGTGCAAAATTATTTGAACACCGCATAGTTTAGGTGTAGTGTGCACGGACAAGTATTTTAGTTCCTTGTGATGAAATGGCAATCAGTACCGTATACTTCAAAATTAATGCAAAAAAACGATCACCAATTAGAATAACTGCTTTTGTTGTGATGGGCCCTAAGCACATTTAGATTGACAGTGAAGCTACACTAGCAAACTTCAGCCACTTAAATGGCAAATACTATTCCAATTCCATTCTGTTCCATGACATAAATTATGCAATCCCCACTGTGCAAGTTACCTTTGAGCAAGGTTCTGTGAAATTGCTACAGAGCAAACTTGAGTTAACTTCTTTGTTGACAAGAGAGATTACAGCTCTTCATACAGCCCTACCTTGACTATGAGTGTCAACATCAACAGGATCAGACTCAGGTCCATTCAGTCCAGAGTTGAATGGCTGTACAGTGATGGTATAGCCTGTATTAGGTGTCAATCCTGTAATAATCTTATTGGTTGAGCCAAGGACTGTCTGCATGGTGAATCCATTAGTGTCAGATGCCGCAAAGTACTTCAGGTGATAGCCTTCAATAAATTCATGATGCTGCCTCACCTAGAAATGGATCATAACCAACAAACATGCAGTCCAATAAAAAAAATCAATCCCACCAAGCTATCCCAAATAATTGAGGGGTATATATTGATGGACTGTACCTTCCACAATCTTGCAAAAAGCTTCAAAACATATCAGCAGAAATGGATAAATGTGAAAAGGTTAGGTTTAATAAAAGAATCATGAGCCCATATTAAGGTCTAAACAATCCATGGTAAGCACTCACTGTAAGACTTATAAAAACTTTGGTTCTGCATGGTGTTTTCCGAGAATAGTGATTGCTTAAAAAATGTCAATGTCTCAAATAGTCATCAATTGAGACCATGAGGTTAGCCCAGGCCAGTAGGCTGAAACAAAGTCAGAATCAATACATGAATAAGAGTCCACTTACCTCCCATAGAACCTTGACAGCTGTTGGGCTCAACACCATAGCATTAGTGATATCCACTCTTGCCTTCTGTAACCACTCCTCAATCAAAGTAGACTGCTCTGACGGAATTGCTGACAGAACATCTATTTAGAATCATCAAAATACAGACGAATTCTTCAAAACTTCTTTTCTAAGGGAGATCTATACTTGGCCATTAAGTCCAGAACGAGCGATATTGTGACTTTCTTAAGACTGGCTGTGCTACTGGAAATGGCCAAATGCGGAACAATGACATCAACACAGAACCACGATGAATGCCACAAACATGAACAAGGAATAATATTTGCACATTAACCTCTTTACCTCTGGTTGTGATTGGTTGAGATATGGGACCAGGTGGGCCAATACCTCGATCATTCACTGCTCTGACTAGGAACAGGTAGGTAGTTCCTGGTCGTAATTGTTGAACCAGACACGTCTGTCCCATGCAGGGAGCGGGCACAATCTGCCACTCTGTAATCAAGTGAATATGCATGGTCTTCAGTGAAAACAGTTCCAGATATGCACATCTAGGATTTTAATTCTGAAATTCAAATTCACCAAACAAGTTTAGAATTTAGTTGGAAAACCCAAGACATAAGCTTTAATATAGTGTATGTTGGATATCCACAGCATGTACCACTCAATGGATCATTACCAGAACAAAGTCTGAAAAAGGTTAAGTTTTTGACAGCAGTTGCTACTGCTTTGTTGACCACAAGCTATCCCACTGGTGACAAACTAATTGAATAGACTGAAAATCAAACATACAAATACAGACTGATTTGAAGTGATATAGCTTCACTGACCCGAGGCCACTTCATGACTGAAGTATTCCAGTCTGTAATGAGTGATAGGTGAGAGAGGAGGGCTGGTTCTACTTGGCGGTAACCAACTCAGAGTCAATGATGTCCTGGTTATATTACTAGCTGTTGGCTGTCCAGGAGAAGCAGGCAGTTCATGAATGTTGGGAGCTTGCAATACAGGGATGTCTGATGCTTCACTTCGCTCTGTCCAAATGTTAACAGAAATTAAACGTAAAATTACACTTCACACAAATTAATGCAACACAGTGTGTCTTTTATTGGCCAATGATGAACACAGTTAACTAACATATATAGACCTGGAGGTTAGTTCTGGGCCTCTGACCACGCAAAACTGACAACCTTGTGTTAGGAAATTACCATTATCTTACAATACGGAGTAAAGAGTAAATCACAGTTTATTATTATGAATTGCACTAGTTCCCCCCACGCCATGCCATTGCTGAAGGTGTGATGGAAATGCAGCAACCACTAGATGCATCCCAACCAACACAGCATTGTTACACTTCACATGTGCATCTCTGCTACAGCTGCACTTTGTTAAAAAAAGGATGTTGGAGAAAGATTTCTGTGAGGCAATTCACAAAACTTGATCTCTTGCCTAAGTATTCATTTTTTTTGTGTTCAAGAATTTAATTTGAGGTTCTGTTGATCTTATTCTCGTACTTGAAGCTAGCATGTTTCCACAAAATTTCCAGCCTTGGTGACAGTTGTGTAAAATGTCCCTAATTCTTCAGAACTGTACATACCAGTAATTTCTACACTGATTCAGGCAAGTGAACAAGATTCTCACTCCCTACTTTCTGGGGAGTGGGTGGAGAACAAAGATGGCAGATATAGGCACATACCGTAACTTAATGTTGGTTCTGTTACACAAAATAGAAAACACTCACAATAAGGAAAATGTGAGATGGTAAATCTTTTCATTTGGTGTCAAAATGGCTACTGCTATTTGGACCTTCAGCGCAGCTGCACTCCTTTTGCACTTCGGCGTTCGTAATCAACAACCCAACAACACTGTGAGTCCCATGGGAATGGGGTTTTGAATATGCCCAAAACGTCTAACCACGCTTTTGCAACACTTTATCATGCGCATGATGAAGTGCACAATAGTATCTGTATCCCGACAAACACAATAAAGTGAGAGAAAAAAGTGAAACCAGACTTTTTACTTGTAGGCAATAGATTAGGCACTACTATAGTTTTAATCATTGATCTCCACGATTAAGTCTTTATAATGGTTTTAATGCACACAGTACAGAGCCCGTATCCTGCATGACTTTATCCTGTTATAAATGTACATGAAACACGGAGCCACACAATATTCTTCGTTTGTTATGGCATGCCACCAAAGTGGCAATCAGCACATTTTTCGCAGGTGCCATAGACTAAAATAAGCACCCCCCCAATGCAGAAATCAGTGGATCAGCGGAAAGTTGCATGCCTGGTCTTACCAATAACACGTAGATATGCCCTCCAGCTTGTCTGTCCACTGCTATTGGTAGCAATACAACTATACATCCCAGAGTCCTCCAAAAACAAGCCAGATATTTGCAATCGGCCAGTGTCTAACACTGTAAATCTGAATAACAAAATGTATAGTGGTTAAATGAAGAAAACTGACTGGAAAAGGATTTGAGCTTGCAACTTCTTCAGCATGTGAAGGTACTACCAAATAAGCTCTCCAGTCTTGTTAATGGTCTCTCCAGTTTTTCATGTCTTGGTTGTAGGCAGAGGCCATAAACCAATACATGCCATATGGCCAGTTTCAAACCAATGGTCAGTACAAGTTGTAACACTGCTGAAATTCTACAACTGGTACTTTGGACTCATGCAGGAAGTCTGCAGTTTCTTACATGCAGATCATCAATTTGACAGCACAAAATTATTTTTATTTCACTTTTAGATGTGAAATTTCACCATCTCACACAAGTTTAGTCACAATGATTAAATACTGATCTTTTAATTTACTGTTTTGGCATTTACTCAGTTAGATTTTCACCTTGACTTTATGAAAGCAAAATTACATTGTTTCAGAATGCACAAAGGAAATGTGCCAAAATCTTGGGCCCAAACCCTCAAATTCCATGTGCAAAAGTCTTACAGGGAAGCAGGACAAACAATGACGTATGTACTTGCTGCAAGTCAGAGGTATGGAATCCAGAGAGCTTGCTGGAATTTTTCAGAAAAATAAATATTCACACAAACCACACCAAAAATTAAAGGAAAAAAAGTAGTTGAATTAATTTAAAATATATATAATCAATGTGATTTTTGTACCTCCATGAACAAGTAAATGGGGCTTTTTAAGGGTTTCAACAGTTAAAGATAATGTACATGTAAGTATCATTGTTGGAATACCTGGTATCACTGGCATGTAATGGAGCACCATTCTTTGTCCATCGCACACTTGGGGCGGGGTTACCTGCTGTTTCACAGGTTAGTAGTGCTACAGTACCAACAATGAGAGTTTGGTTGCTGGGACCGTAGTTGATAATCGGAGGTGGCTGGCTGACAGAGGCTGCAACAAGGCAAAAATAGTCATACAGTTAAACAACTTGGTTCTTCAGCCCAATGTCTCATGATCAATATAGCTTACCAACAACCTGTTGACTCTTACAATAACTTAGGCCTGTTTCGGACACAAGACAGCCATAGTACCATCTCACAAGTTAGTTCAATTTTCTGCATAAGTCTTGAATCCAAACATTCCCAGATCCATCAAATCAAACAGGAGGTTTGGACAGATTTCACAGGACGAAGGAAAGCAGAAGCTGGCTATCGTTACTGGATTTGACTGCCATTTGCAAAAGGTGCCACTTGCCAAAATCATTTACTTCGGTAACTGCCACATTTTATGTCAAAATAATTGACTGCTGAGAAAAGAAAATTTCACCAAAACATGTTGAAGCGTGTGCTTATCCTCAGCACTAGGAATCACCTAAGATTACTGTTACCACGCCACCAGTTTATTATAATTTTCTCAGATTTCATCAATAGATTTTGCAGTGAACCCAGAGCCAATTTGACCACAAAAATGGCTACATTCATCTTACTGGCCTAATGTAGAGCTCCTGGTCATAGCAGGTCAACATAAACGAGATGAAATAATCTTGGCATCCACTTTAAATCAAGGTCTTTGTGTTGCACATGTTACAGGTGTTTTCAGGCTTCACTTGTTCTATGCTATCAGAAACTCCATATTCATGAGCACAAAGTCATATCACCGATAGTGGGGTTTGTGTTGTCAGTGTTTTAGCATCAAGAGCTACCACAATATTTGGGTTTCTGCTGCTATCAATTCTCTCCATCAGGAAATGGTCACTCAATTATTTTCAATGACACACATGTACATGTACTGAACATGTTTGTATTGATAAAGTATAGTGTACCTGAAGTGACACCATAGAAACACTGTCCCCGCTGTTATCAGAAAACAGCTGGGACATCAGACACATTCAAAAGTCCACTTGAAAGATTCAATTACCAAGTACCATCTTATCATTCAAGAGTTAAGAGGAATAGTTACTTCAAGTAAAATTCATTTTATCATTCCTTTAATAAAAATTACAAAATAGGGATCACTGACAAACCTGAAATCAATATTTACACCAAGCTGCCATGAGCACCGACAGAGTTTTCACTTGGGTTAACAGACATCAAAAATATTTCAACTATTAAGGTCAGTGGTAATGTTTGCCCACGTTTATGTCACATCATGCTGGCTTCCCCTCTGATGTGCCAGCAATGTTGTATGCTGTATGATATATTTAATATCTAACCTATGACTCGCAGGAATGCTCTGGCTTCTATCACACTGGAGCCACTGTGAGCCGTGCATACATAGTACCCTTCATCTTCCTCCCTCACATCAGTGACATGTAGCTCTCCATCGCTTGTCACTTGAAGACGACCACTCTGCATATCCACAAAAAGCAGCTCTTCCTGTAAACCATCAAGCATACATGTACCTGATCACCACACATGTCCACATTGTTGGCCTCCACTGTGCCATAACCTGCATTTACATTGTAAATCAAATGCCACCAAGTCCTACCCAGCAATCCCTAAGGGCCAAGTAGCAGCTGAAATTCTGCCCCAGAAATGTCCAGCCTCAATGAAGCGATGACTTGTAAACCTCGTCATACAAAGGATTCAGCATCTTTATTGTCTCAAACTAATTCAGTAGGCGGTTTTTTATGCAAATTTGGACACACATAGAAGGTAAAATGCCAATATACACTGTACAGTGTAATCTTACATTTTCCACCCATTTGAAAGCACTGCAATTATAGCACACAACATAAAAATTCGACATATACATGTAGACATTTTTTGACAGAAATTAAGATTTAATTTTGCTGCCATTTTTGAGTGATACAGATGCAATGGAAATAAGGTCAGATAGCTGACATATTCAGGAGGTGAAATCTAAAAAAAAAGGAACAAAAATGTCAACGTACATGTAACTGCCACTCCTCGATTCAATAATCCAACGTAATACGGTAATGGTTACTATATTTCCAAGTACCTTAGGGATGTTCCTGATTTTGTTGAATCCCACAAGTGAACTCCTCAAACATTTTAATCACAAAAAATTGAACAGCTGTAAGATTATGGTGCTCCTAAATATAAAAGTGAGAGGAAATATTACATCTCCCCAGCACAAAAGATCATCATTGGTGATCAAGCAAGTCTGAAACCATTTCTCTGGAAAGCAGGTGTTAAGTCTAAACGGAGGTTTCAATTATTATTTGGGTCACAATCTTCAAGTTTTAGTCACTTTTAGACTATTTCAGGTTCATCATTACTATCGCTACAATTTTTCCCAAATCATGAGTGGATTTAGGTTTTCTTGGACCCATTACCCATTCCCATTGGTTAAGTACCCTGGAAACCATCGCTACTATTCAAACACCAAAACTAGAATTTAAAGCATAATGCTACAACACAATTCCCCTATGCAATTCCTTTGTGCTATGCCATGCTTGCACTATGTGAAATAAAATAAACCAAGATGTTATTTCAGAGATGTTATTTTGTATGAGAAAAATAATAATCTAATTTTCTTTTGAACAAGCTTCTGTTCCTTAAAAACAATCTAATTTGTACATTGCCCGGGAGGTTATGGTTTTATAACAAATGAAATAAAACTGGGCATCACCTATTTTCAGTCAGCAATGAGACATCTGAGTACCAGAGATGCCAGTAGCCTATGCCCAAAAAATCGAAAAATTGCACGGTGTCGGTTTTATACGTATTAATGCATGGGTATGCAGGCATGTACACAACGTGCATATTCATTGTCTAGTTGACTATAAAACAAAAAAGTTCTTTCTTGATCATCGCTGGTTGATCACAGTCATGAGTTGCAGCCTACATGTAGGCCTGCCTGCTGTTTTTTACTCAAAAAGATACGAGCATGAAGAAAGCTTTCCACCTGATCGGAAGTGGGCAGCGCTTTGGTCTTGATGGTAGTTGGTAGGCTTAGGCCTACCTGGCAAACGAAGCTTTCTAACATAAGTAGAAAAGAAATCACCACTGTTATCCTTTTCTTTGGGCCATCTCAACTGAAATTTGTCCTTGACATCTCTTTCAATATCATGAAAATCCTCGGTTTTTTTTGACAATTAGATGCTGCATTTTGTTGGCCCTCTAACATATAGTCAATCCACGTGTTGATCATCCAATGTACAATGTACATTCGTTGTGTACGTTCATGCATCACGCATGTCACATGTGCATGCATTGAGCTGTCCATGACAAGCAATTTACATGCGTCTAAGGTCAATATTTAAACGTATTTCCAGTTACTGATGACACCACTCAACAATGTCCGTCGTATTTCGCACCACAATATGACTGACGTAAGCACTCTACTGACGACTGCGCACAAGATTAAATATCCAGTCGTGCGGTGCAGGATACGTGCGCATCATAGATTTGCTTCCAGTCTTTTCTTCTTTATTAAATTTTGTCATTGTTGAAAACATTGAAGGGGAAAATGTAAAAAAATTGGATTCGGGGAGAAAAATACCCAAAAGTCGGATTTCCAATTAAAATAAGAAAAGTGGCAGCTCTGGAGTACTGGTCACAGCAAGGACTGTGTGCAGAGCTACTGTTCAATATGCTAAGAGGTCTGGGCTCTTTCCATAGTAAAAACCCACATGCTGTCCAACTTGGATTGATGGGTAAGTCCTGTATGTATAAATTGCAGAGAGAGAGAGAGAGCTCCTACCTGACTGCCTTCTTTCTTCCAGACGATTGCCGGTGTTGGGCTGCCTGTAGCTTGGCATTGGAATGATGCTGTGTGATGGATCTCTACAGTCCTGTCCATTGGTGCCTGGGTAAAGGTGGGGATCACTGTAACAACCAATAAATAGTTTCATTATACACATATACCAGTACTTGGGAGGATCAACCATCTTGGTAAAGATACCTCAAATTAATGTAGATAAAGGATTGTTCACATCATATTTTTTACAACCAGGGAGTGACAAGAAGCCATATTTTAGACATGTTCAGCCACAATGGGGCAAAATGGACTTTTGGAAAGAAACTTGTACATGAAAGTGATGCACAAGAATTTTCATTTGGTCAATCAGAGACCTTACTATGGTATTTCATTGCAATATCAAGCAGACTTAACATTTACATAAGCAGCAAAGCAAAAAAGCAGTAAAAAGTTCAGAGTTCTCTGTCTTCAAGCAAAGTGCATAACACAATCACCATGTAAGAAATGCAAATAATCCAACCTTGGATAAAATGTTCACTCTGTCCACTTCTAATCAGCAAGAGTTAGAATTCTAAAACTGAGTTTCAAAGAGAAGACCCTTCAGGTTGGAGGATACTGACAAACTCCACTCACTGGAAAAACACTTTTTATTCTGAAACCATACAGCATGGTATTCGCAATGAAAGTGAAATTTCCCAAACATCTTAGTGCTGGAACAAATGAAGTCCAGCATGGTATTCGCAATGAAAGTGAAATTTCCCAAACATCTTAGTGCTGGAACAAATGAAGTCCAGCATGGTATTCACAATGAAAGTGAAATTTCCCAAACATCTTAGTGCTGGAACAAATGAAGTCCAGCATGGTATTCGCAATGAAAGTGAAATTTCCCAAACATCTTCGTGCTGGAACAAATGAAGTCCATAAATGAGACTGATTGTTTACATATTTACCCCATACTCCAGGGATGCTGGGACATTGTAGCTTACAATGTGTGAGTATGTGCACACAGACTGTTGAAAGATTGTTTGTACAAGCAGTCTGATGAACAGCAAGATTCAGAAAGAACTACACAACGGTGCTGCCCACATTCAGAAGCTGTTATATCAGCCACAAGCACTGTGTAATTACAGACGGCCTACTTGATTGATTCACACTTCCAACCAATGTCACATCATGCAAATTCTATCATTTCACTGATGGTTATGTCAATATTCAAGATCAGTGAAACCAAACTGACTGCCTCAGAAGATGACTGCAGCAATAGTCAAGAATACAACATTTCAGATTGGCTCAGAATAATTCATGAAATGTCAAGGCTATAGCAAGACTGGTTGGAATATAGAGGCAAATGTTGCCAATGCTACCTCTACCCTGGATAAGTTATTTCTTCACATTAAGCAGGTATTAAAAGCTTCAAGTTTAGATTTTATTTACTTGAAAGGTGCCTACAAGGATTTCTAAAAATACAAACAGAAAAATGATTCAGACAATAATACAAAGTGAAGACAAAGGCTTCAAATATACAGCATCCTAACAGGCGCATAATTCATTGATGGTGGGTTCAATGTAATTGTCTTACCACTAACGGTCAACATCATATCATCCTGTACTCGGCCATTAGAGTTGACTGCTTCACAAACATAGACCCCTTCATCCTCTTGAGTTACCTGACGAATGCGTAATGAGTTGTCCTCCAGTATACTGTATCTGAAGAAGTAACACAAAGATGGTTATCAACACATTCTCACTTTTCAAGTCCACTATCAGTCTATATTGATATCATTCAGGAGACTCACATAAATGTATCAAAATGAGGGATGATATGACGCTTCCGGATAAAAAGCAAATGATAGTAAAAGATGTGAAAGCTGGTGAAATAAATGGGCTCATGTGAATACATTACGAGTTGAATTTTATCATTAAATGAAGGATGTAGGCTATTCAATTGGACAGAATATCTACAACAAACTGTTATATACATATTCATATAAATATCCATGTTTTGCATAAAACAATTACAAGAAGGAAATAAACTAATCAAATCAGAAAATGAGAAGAACAAATATGAAGAAGGGACGTGACCAGAGAATTATTCCTGATGATAGATTTTCAACAGTTGGTGGGATGACATAAAATTGAAAATTAGATATTAAATTATATGGATAATGCCACAACAGCAATGTTTTAAGGTACATGTACCTATTTAAAGGTTTCATCGATCTAAAGGTAGGCAATAGTTTGAGGTGGCTCCACAGAAGAGGTCCTTGATTTCTTAGAGTGGATAAATCAAGGAATGCTCTGACTTTATGGAGATGAAGTGGCTGATTTTGTATTATGAGAATGAACATCCAATTATCAGTTTAATGAATATGTAGCTTTAAGAAGATCATTTGTTTCAAATTTATACATCAATACACCAACACGATAGCTATTAAAGTTGAAAACTCACAAGGTTTTGTATTACTAAACAGTAGTGCTGAATGTTGTGTAGACATGGAGTTATCAATTATTCTGAGCGTTTTCTTTTGCATTTAACACTTCACTTGAACTCAACACTCAGTCTAACTTCCACTGACTAGCTGAGCCTGGTAGAGTTCAGAAACTATGTTTTCATGCCTGAGCATATCGTGGGAACCTCCACAATCCCCCCAAAAGGTTCCAGTGTGCAGAAACTCAATTGGCTCACTTGCTGGCAACTTCTAAGGGTCTATATTCTTTAATCTTGCAAAGTCCTACAAAACCTTCCAGTGGATTTTGAAAGATGTGGGAGGGTCAGGGTAACACTTACCTTCCTGGTGGGAGCTCCCCACTTTGCTTGGACCATGTGACTACAGGGATAGGATCACCAATCACGTCACAGCCAATCAGGACTGTGGTACCAGGGCCTACCATGATATCTTGTACAGGATGTACCAGTAATGGTGGGGCTGCATACATACAACAAAAATACAAAGTCATTCGGTTTACGGATATTAAAATGGCCATTCTCATTTGTCTGAAACATGATGGCAATTCCACGGGTATGTACGTCTACATCATATTTATAGTTTATTTTTCAACGTTAAGTCTTAAACATTTCCTTTTGCCTACACTTGGCTTGTAATTTCATGTTCCTGCCCTGAGGAGTTTAAGTTATACATGGATTTTCAACTGATGGCTGCTATTGCCTTGGTCAGTAAAGGCAGCTACTGCACATGTTTGTTGACTGAGGTAAATGCCATAAATATGCACTATCAGGTCCCAACAACCACAAATGATTTTTTCCATCTTTCCTCCTGAGAATACTGCTGACTATGTTTAGAAATAGCAATCAGTGAACACTAACGACAGCTGATGTCTGACATGACCAACAGCTGAGATGTCTGATCAAGCAAATGGCATGACCTGGGGTCACATGGGCGATACAATAAGAGGTAAAAGTCAAGTCGTATACAGAGGTTTCATCTTATGATTGGTGCACCAAGTGTCCAATTACAGGGTCAGGGGCATCATGAATCGATCTCATACAAATTGTTGGGGACAACTGTGAAGTGATGCTAAGCTGCACTATGAACAATGACTTCAATATATAACTGCACTGAAGTACACACTTCCATAATGAACTGACTCTTCCTTGTACCAGTACACAAATTTCTTTAGGAACTTGCAGGATTGCAGACTTAGTCTACCCACACAAAATAATTAAATTAAACAACAAATCCTTTGTTCCAGTTTCCTATGAAGAGGTCCCCTGGTTCGCTATGAACAAGACATTCTCCTTGACAGCCACACTGTCTGAGAAATACAGAATGATTTGTCTCTCATGCATGGATGACCACACCCTCTCAGTGTTTTAGGTTCCAAATGTAAGCAACACAAGACAGGTTATTAAAAATATTGTGTCTCAGGTGTTGGAATGATATGTGTTGAATATATATATGCATGTACATGATGCATTTGGCCCAAGTAACTTAAAGGGCATGTTTCCAGGATGGTTATCACCTTTTGCCATTGTCAGTGTTTTTTTTATAGTTAAGACCTGCTTGACAAGCAAATATAAAGACTATACTGGACTGAATCACATATCAGGGCAAATATTCAACTCACAAGTGACAAACAAACTGGGAAATCCTAAGAGTTTCTAAAGGGTCTTTGGTTTGAGATGGTAAACATAGGGAGTGAAAAGAACAAATCAGTTGGTAAGAAAAGTTTCATGCGTAACACTTTGATACTAAAGTCACTTTTCATTCCCATATGCTCTCTAAAATAGAAAAAAAAAGTCATCACCTATTCTTGACTGAAACTAATGAAAGATTTTGACAGAAAAACAAGAACTATATTTTGGTTTCCACCCACATTCACATCGCCAGTAGCCTAAGACTGTGAAACTGCCATTGGAGTGCTGAAAGGTAAAAGTAATTCCACACTAGGGAAACACTGCTGATATGATGGTGACATTAAATGCTGCCCATCTTCACTGTTTTGTGACATGATATATCCCAGGCTTGTGGCATACATGCTCTAGTAAGGACAGGCAGGTGCAGTGCCTTTCTGCATACCTCCCACTCATCCATCCCTCCTCACTGCAACAACAGAAGTGAGACACCTGCTGCTAAAGCACATGCTGCGGGTACAGCATTTGAATTTGCACTCAGAAAAACAAAACAGGTTTTATTCAGGTCAACTAATACCTGGATTTAAGATATACATGTAACCAGATCTGAATCTCGTTTCTTTCATGAATATAACGGTAAGGTACATGTACCTTTTGAAACCCCTGACACAGTAGTGTGTTCAAGTTGAAATGTTAAGATAACCCTAAGAACATGGAGACACTGAATGCTCCCCACATCTACATCTACATGACCTACATGTATCTGTTTGGCTGTGTTGGCATAGACTTTTACCGCATTACATGAAGTAGTTATTTTTAATAATCACACTTACTTGTCAGCGCATGCAAGGTTTTACATGATAATTATTCTTCATAACACTTGTTTTCTTCCTTATTCCTGAATAGCATAAGGCAGTGGGTTACCCGGGTCAACAATGACAGCTGACTGTAGGACACTTACAGTAAGTGTTTGCCACACTGTCTCACATTTTACCAACCCATCAAATTTGCCACTCATTCAATTGAACACTGAATCAATTTATGACAAAGTGCAGGCAAACAAACACATATGATGATGCAGGGAACTAAAATGGCATTCTAAGCACACTTTAAAAGCAAACAAGTTTGGAAAAAGACAACTTCACTTGTCACTCCAACAATTTCAGCTACTGTCATAAACATAATGAAGGCCAGATGCGGTATTTCAAAGCCTCTAAGATATAAAAAACTTCTGACTCGTGGATGCACATGCATGTACAGTTAGAATGCTGGTATATAAAACATATTTTACACAATTTTTTTTTCTGTGATAACATTATCCCTAAATATCAATTTTATCATTTCTGTCTGTATCTATTGACATGATGTAATTTCCGAATTTTTGATATCAATTTGACTTTGCGTCTGGGATGTTCATTTCACACTCACTGGGGTAAGGGCAAAACTTTGTATTTAATTTCCAATTTTATTTCCAATGTTAGCCAATTTTCAACGGGCCAAATCTCAGTGTACAATGCATTTCAACTGGGTTTGAAAACCTACATTACTCAATGCATTTCTGACTTTGTATTCAGTGAAACCTACACTGATGTTGCAATTTTGGTTGAGATCAACCAATTACATGTGACAAAGGCAGGCCATAAAATGCCAAGTAGAACTTCCTTAGTGACGGAAGCAATTACCTTTGACAGTGAGGTAGACAGGATCGGTGCTACGGGAACCCATCTGGTTGCTGGCTGTACACACGTAGCTGCCTGCATCACTCGCCCGAGACTAACCAAAATAAAGCCAGCAATTAACAGTCTTTTATATAATGGGTAAAGTCAATGTCAAGACCACTGTTGTGTTTACAGATCAATAAATCATTCCCTACCTCATCATTATACGCAAAGCTGCTTGACGCCATGAAAGTATGCTTGCAAAACAGCAAAGCACAAATCCCAAATGTCTATATCATATTTGAAATCACATTCTTACACAGTATACTCTAGTCTCAAGTACTAAGTCAGTTTTTTTATCTGCAAATAAAAATGACATTTGGTAAGACATTACACTTCGATGGAAAAAAAAAATTACTTTCATAGGATGTGGTGCGTGGTATCCTTATCACATAATGTGTGTAAATAACTTGTACTTAAGTTTAGTTTATCCATATTAGACTTGCATTTGGCTTTTTATATCGTTAATTATCAATCCTGAAATGCCAATTGATGCATGAAAGTGTGGATCAACTTATTTTTCCACCTCAAGTTACAGAAGCTGAGGGTATTTTTTTTAGCGTACCGTGAGGGTTTTATATAGTTGCTTCGGAAAGGACCCAAGATATGCATACAGTGTGCCTGTGCATATCATGAGATTTTCTACCAGTACCATGTGGAATGTTGACTTCTGTACAAATCACAATGAAGTCAGTAAGCCCAAACCATCCCTCTGTTGCATGATCCTGACTAAGAATACATTCAGACAAACCCCGCGTTGATACAAATGATATTGTGCTTGGGATGAGTTTAGATGCAAACTTCTAAATCCAAAATATGCAAATTCTCAGACCAGAAAAGTTCACGCGCACTCTGTGATGTACAGTATATCCCATCCCAATAGATTAGGCAGCTCTGAAATGGTTTATTTCCTAGTGTTACCAGGACAGTGTTCTTAATTAGTGAAGGTTCATCAAAGTCGTTCATTTTCGTGAAAAAGAATAAGTTACATATTTTTCATGGAGTAAGCTTTTCAGCTTGTAAACCCAGCTTCCAAATCATAGTTTGGGAGAGTCAAGCTCCATGTCCAGCATACTACATGTAGATATAATGGTCAGATAATTAACGACAGCATTGAGTGCAAAGCTTAAGGGAGGCAGTCTAGGTGTCCTGAATTTTGCATATTCTCTATTGAAATCTGAAGAAGTTTCTACCACTATAAATGCCTGTCAACACAAATCGCTTTACAACCCCAAAAAGTACATGCATATGCAGAAAAACACACAATAACATTTTTTTTCTATCAAAACAACAGTGAGTTCGGATCCTATATTTTGGAAATAAGAGATTTAAGGAATAAATATGTATATGGACATCGAGTATCCCAATTTAAGCTACCGGTTCTATAAACAGATAAATTAGATTCATATTTTCAAAAGCCCTGTTTTTAGGTGTAAATGGCAGACTTTGTACTTTTAGTGTAGCAAGGAGCTTTTGTGCAAGTTTAGGTATCACTAGCCACCTTGCACACACGACCTGTAGTGCAATGAGTCAATGTGAACAAACCACCTTAAAATGTGGTCCATCACACCTTTGCATTCAAATGTCACTCCACAGCTCATTGTTGCAAGAAGCAATCACCATCATCGTGTGTTTATGCTTATCTACCGGTACCAATTTCTGTGAGTCCGAATTGTACCACCTTGGTGGTGTAAATTAACTACTAGCTCGTGCCTTATATGAAACTACTGTAAATAGTGATATCATGAGGTTTCCATCCTGTAGCACCTTGACTGTCTCCACTTTCAACTGTT